TTAGCTGATTAGCAACCTCAATTCCATTGGCAACCTTAGTTCCCTTTTGCCTTGTAACGTAAACATATTCACAGATTCCAGATTCCAGGGACTGGAATGTGGACATCTTGAAGGGAGAGGGAGCATCATTCTGCCTACTACTTATGGGAGAATAAACATGTGTGCTCAGACATGTTAAGTTTGAGATGCCAGTGAGTTGAGCAAGTAGGAAGTTAGTGATGTAGGCAATTGGATATGTGAGTTGAAGGTCAAGGAGAGATTTGGGCTAAGTTTGGAAGTTGTCAACACAGAGATGATGTATAAAGCGATGAGAGTGTGTGATGTCACTGAAGGAGAGACTGAGCCTGCAAACTTCTACATTTAGAGTTAAGGTAGAGGGGGAGGGGCCAATAAAGAAAACAGAGAAAGAGCAGACAAAAATAGGATGAAAACTAATCTAGTGTGGTGTTACAAAAGCCTAGAGAGGAGACTTTTCGAAACAGGCAAGAGTGATAAGCTGGGTTCAATACTGCTGCAAAAGGCACTTGCAGATTTGTCCATGGAGTTGGTAGCAAGAAATTGGAAACCTTGACACAAGCTGTTTCAATGGAGTACTGATGCAGGTTGGGGAGTGAATGGGACATGATCAGTCACTACAGGTGATGAGGAAAAGTCCTGCATGTCCTCAACAGCATTTGTAGATGCCTGTTAAAAATAGTGAGGTGATCACATTTGATCAGAGGCTTTCCAACAATAAGAAGCTAGGAGGTAAACAAGATCACTGTTGTGTATTTATATCTAATCAGAATTGCCTGATGGCTACGTCAATAGTATACATGAAAGGGGTACCGATATATAGCTGGGTTCTCACTGCCATGCTCTGCATGTAAAGCAAACCCTGAGAGTAAACTGGGGCAATGAAACACCACCACCTTCCTGAACACATCCCAGGAAATCCTTTAGGACCAAACAGCAGAAACTACTTGGAAGGAGAAAATCAGAGTGTTCTGTAGCAGGACTCAAGGATCCCCCTGCGTTAGAGGGGACAATGCTACATCCTCCCAGACTGCGGTTTACCAAAGGGCCTTCCCCTGCAGGAATGAAGTACTCTTATCAGCCGGTGATGCCTCCCTGCTCATCCACAAGGGACTATCCTCTTTCAGGAGCAAGTGGTTGAAAGATTCTTGCGTGACACTGCTCCTCTGCTCCCTTTGATGATTCTCAGAATCCGACAAAAGGAAACTCTCAGAACAAAAAGATTCAAAGATTCAAAAGGTAAAACCAAAAGCTTCCTTACTGTTAACTTGGTCAAATTAGATACAATAAGTAAAGTCCTATGGACTTAATAGATTAATAGTAGAGATTAATAGTAGAGAGGCTTAAAATGTCAGAATGAATTCCAAAAGGGTTTTGGCTCCAAGTTATGGCCCTGGAAAATTTAAGAATCATGACAAAGTAACCAAGGCATTTATTTCACTAAAGTCTTAATCTCACATCATACACAAATTTAATTTCAGGCATATCATAGACCTAAACATAAAAGATAAAATATGAAGTTTTTAGAAGACAGTGCAAGATATATATTTACAACTTTAGGGTAGAAAAATTTCTTAGAAAGGACGCATGAAACTAACAATAAAAAAATTGACAAATTACACTTGACCAAAATTGAAAACTTTTGCTCATTAAAAGACACATTAAAAGAAAATTGGGTGTTGATAAAATGGTACAAACTTTCAGCTATAAGATGAATAAGGTCTGAGGATCTAATGTAAAACATTGTGACTATAGTTGATAGCCCTGTATTGTATAATTGTAATTTGCTAAGAGAATAGAACTTAAATGGCACCAAAAGAAAAAAAAGGTAAATATGTGAGGTGATGGGTGTGTTAACTAACTAGATGGTGGAAATCCTTTTACGATTAAAAAACAAAAACACAAAAAGGAAACTTAATAGACAAGCCGCAGACTGGGAGATAATATTCTCAAATATACATGTGACAGAGGACTTGCATCTAAATATAGAAAGACCCACAAGTCAATAATAACAAACTAAACAAAGGAATATTTTCCGTGGACAGAAAGTCTTAATCTGTAATAATTGTCTGATTCACTGATTCAAAGAGTTTCAACTTGGCGGAGTTAATAGTTTTTTTCTTTAATAATAAAGGAAATGGGAAAAGTTGATTTAAACAAGGGGAGTGGGGAGTAGGCCTTAAATACTAAAAACCTGGCCAAGCACCACCTGGTGGCAGAAATTTTGAATTTCAGCTTGAGTTTTTGTGGAATTTTTTTAAAAAGTAAATAAAGATAAATTTTGAAGATTGAATCTGCAAAAAAGACTTGTAAATGGTAAGAGACTTTAGTAAGATGACAGCCAAATTAAAGTTTGCCATAGTAAAACCAAACCAAAAGAACAAAATTAAGTCAGTTATTTTTGCGTTGAAAATACCTCTTAATAATTATGAGACAATGAAGATAATAATATCATGGCATAATACTCTGCCAATTATTCATATGGTAGAATTGTAATTGAATATTAATACAATAAATATAAGTTGATTATTTGTATGCCAAGTATTCGACATGTATTAATTAATCTTCCTAAGAACTGTGTGAAGTACAGGCCCACACCCCAGAATTTTCCCTGTAGAAAATCTGCTGGTTTTTAATAAACAAGCCTCATAGAATATATTTATCTCTCAAAACAACATTTTTATGCCTTTGTTTATATTGCAAAAAAATTACATTTATGTCGCCAAAACTAGAATTTTTTTAAACAAAATGCAGTGTGGGAAATGTTTTGATTTACATTCCAGATAAAATTGGTCTAAAAAATGACCAAATCACTTGTAGACACTTTGAGAACCACAGGGAATTCAGTAACGGGGCTGTACGTCTCAGATGTTGCTGGTGCTGAGAAAGGCAACTTGTCCTGAATGTGTCACCACTATGCCGCTGATATTTAGCTCTTGTTTTTGCTTATTATTTGCAATGAGTGCCCTTCCAAAGACAAAAATGTGTTGAGAAAACTGGGAAAATAAGTGAGTGATTAAAGTGTCTCAGGAAGAGAAGATACCACTGCATATAAAGCAACTTTTAGTTGAGGACTATGGTGGTTATGATCAGAGGGGAACACTTAAAGCAATTTATAACCTAACATCCTTTTTCATTTCATACATACATATGAATTTTACTATGTTTTCATGAAGTTTCAGGAAGTGGTTGCCAGTCTCATAATGTGTTCGAATTTTTTCCAATTAAAAATAATGGAAAACAGGATCCCTGTAATTGTTTTCAGGTGGAATCTCTGGTTTTCAAGGATAGATTACTCATATTAAGCAGGAGACGCCTATATATTATTAATATTATACCATTTTACCAATGAGGCCCAAAGAATTAAGACACCTGCCCAAACTCCCACAGCCATGAAGCCGTGGTGCCCCAGCAGTCTAGCTGGCGAGGCTGTTCTAACCACTCTGAGACACAGCTTCCCTTGTGGCCCTGCTTCTATCACACAGACGGTTTGTACGTACCTTGGGTCAGCATTTCTCAAAGTTCTTGGTCAATAGCTTATTAGGTTGGAATGTTACTAGATTAATATATCTCCTAAAAGGGAGTTCTGTGGCTAGATTTGAGAAATGCTGAGTTTAATAAGATAAAATGTCTTGCTTTACTTTTTAGAGCCAAATGTGCACTGAGATTCTCTATGGTTGGTAGCTGAAGAGGGATTTAACATTTCCCAGACTTATTTTGGTGGGATTGAGATTGAGATAAAGAATGAGATTGGTAACATAAAATATATAACATGTTACTTTATGTGTGTGTGTGTGCATATGTATGTGTGTGTGCATATGTATTCCGTATAACATACTAGTACTGACTTAAGCAAATGGGTGTTTACTTGTCCCACATAACAAGAAATCCAGGGCAGGGCAGTCCAGGGCCAACTTCATTTCTTTTTCCCTTTCTGCTCTACTATCCATAAAAAGCTGTCACTCATACTCATGGTTGTCACCTCGTGGACGCTAGACTTTGCTGCACTTCCAGACCTTACAGCTGTTGTCCAGGGAGGAAGAAAAAGCAAAGGAAAGAGGCAACCCCAACACTCCCACTTATATTTCATTGACCAGAGGAGTGTCGCATGGCCACCCCACGTGACCACCCCTAGAGAGCCTGCCAATTGGGTTTTTGACTTTTAAGTCTTTGTATCAGTAAGTTATGATGTGGTAATAAACCACAAATGTTGATTTTTGCTCACCTGACACGTCATCGGCTACGGGTTAACTGTGGCTCTGCTCAATGCATCTTCTTCATTTGGGGGCCCAGGCTGAGAGAGCAGCCCCCCTCAGGGCCATGCACTTCCCATGGTGGAGGGGACATGGCAGAACTACGTGATGGCTCTCAAAGACTGCTCAAAAATGGCATCTGTCACTTTCCCCCACATTCCACTGGCTAAAGCAAGTCATATACTAAGGCTAATGTCAATAGGGCAGGGAAATATAATCCTGTTACAAAAAGCATTGCAGATAGTTGGGCATGACAATATAATCTTTCTTAATCAATAAAAGCAGGCAAGTGAGAGTAGAGCAGAGATGGAAGTTGAGTGAGCAGTCTACAGTGTCTGCCATGGTACACACATGCACACACACTTCACCTTTTTATTTATTTCTGTTCCAGAGCATTTCACAGGATAAGTATTCACATCCTTTGGGAACTGTGGCCTTGAGCCACATCATGTCCCTTTGATAAAATAACTACCTATAAAAACATCCTGGTATAAAATACTTTGCCTTTAATGTGGGCTGTCATTCCGTTCGTCATTATAATAGATTCCACTGTAATTGCACAGATGACAGTCTGTGTCACAGACTGTTATTGGAAATTTCTCGTCGTGCATTAAAATCCACTATTATGTCAAGGTGATATACATAAACAAAGTTTATTTTTAAGCCAGGAGAATTTCAGAAAGTAGAGTCATGTCTAGTTATGAAAGTTTTTTTCCTTTTCTTCCAAATCAGGTATTATCATACCATGCGACATGTTCAAAAGCTGAAGTTGACAAGTTTAAGGTAAGGAAGCAAATGATGCCCTATTCATGCATACAGTTACACTCCCTGTGGCTTTCTGACCCTTAGTCACTTGCCTCTGTAGAATTAGTCCTGCCCCCTGGGTGTGGGGGGAATAGAGTTGGACAAAAGTGTGTTTGGATATTTCTGTTTTAGAGTTTATATAACTGAGTGGCCCCTTCATGATCGTTTAAATGATTCAGTATTTATTTCTTCCTATTTGTTAAGTAAGCAGGATATCAGAAAAAAAAAATTGTGTAATATGGTGAGAATCAGGGCCTGGTTTGGGCATTGGTTTTACCTCTAACTTTCTGTTCACTTAAAATCTTAGGGCCTATACCTTCATCTGTAAAAGTAAGTGAAGAGATTAGGATAATAATAGCTAACATTTACCAAGCGCTTATTATGGACCAGGCACAATACAAAGCATTTTACCTATTTTAATTCATTTCAGTCTCATAATCCTGTGAAGTACATACTATTTACAGATGAGTAAACTGAGGCGCAGAGATGTTGAGTAGATGGGTCAAGATCAAACCATCGTAAAGGGTATAGACAGGCAATCTGGCCCTGGAACTGGAGTTCTGAACCACCAGGCTTCACTGGCCCTTCAGCTCCAACGTCTGATGAGTCTGTGTATAAGACTTAGATACTCCTTTTCACCTTAGTCACCACCATTCCCTTAAAGGCAGCTCAGAATTCTTCCTCCTCTCTCTGCACTTCTAACTGGCCATGGTCAAACATGGGAGTGTGGCGAAACTGATTTTCCTCCCATTTGAAAGTTTTGGTGTCTGCCTTTATAAGTTTTTGTGAATTATCAGACAAGCTACCACAGCCTTAAGAAAATGTTTTGTATGGTAGTATTTGTATGTATTAACACTTGATGATGGCTACTCTTCTAAGAGTTTCATTCGCACATAGATACATTTGTCTTTCCAGGAAAAATGGCACAAGTCCTTTGGGCCTGATAAATGAATCAGACCATTAGAGTTGAGTCACACTAATACAGAAAGGAAACAGGGAAGACACCAAACTCAGAGTAGGAACGAAAGAACTGCTCGGAAGAGCAGGGAGCAGCACATCTGCAGTGGGCATAGGGTGAGCTGTGTGGATATGGTTTCTTCTTGGCCTGGAGAAATGCTTATGAAAAGACCTGCAATGGTGACCCAGTTCAGGAGACACATGGTGCCAGCTAGAGGCGACCGCTGGCAACAGAGGAAGGAGCCGGAACAACCAAACTACAGCACTCAGGGCCCCTTTGTTGTCGAGATAAACATCCTCCATATCAGCTAGAATCTGAGCGCCATCAGGGCTGTGCTTTTTGTATGTTTTGTTCACTGCTCTATCTCTACTGCCTTTTACGGCTCTTGGAACATAGTAGCATTCAATAAATACTTGTTGAATAAATGACTGAATGACTAAAGAAATTCAAAAAGCATCAGTGTTCTATAACTCAAAACAATTATTCATTAAGAAAATGTTAAAAGAATGTTATATATAATTATTTTTTATATTTTATATATATGTTATAAATATTTCCATCAAAAATATTTAAAGCTTCTTTACTTTAATAAAGTTCAGTTACCTGGAAATCCTATTTATGAAAATAACTATCCATAAATATTTTGCTGTTTTTACTGTTATTGTTATTATCATTACGGCTAAAAGAGAGAAGGTGCAGGCAGAGAGAAAGATAGCAAAGCTAAATCTGACTGCCAGGCTATTTGATGGGCCATGTCCAGTGCTGTAGCAGGCCAAAACCAATAGCTTGTCTACAGTCTGGAGGTATTGCCCTATGTTTAGGCTTAATTCTTTGCTTAGAGTAAGGAAAACACTGTTGTGTTGGAATTTACCACGTTTTTCTATTGTTAGCCCACAAACATACTAAAAATATGAAGTATTTAAATTTGAGAACAAAGGGTTATTTCCTCTTAAAATTATCATGATTTAGTCCCAATTTTATCCTGAAAGATATTAGCAAGTATCTTATTATAATGTAATTGAGGTATAGTGGATAATTTAACCTAATGACTTTTTTCTTGAAATATAAAGTCCATAAAACATTATCATAATTGGTAGCTGATGTCTTATAACTGCAGCAATAACATTAAAATGTAGTGGGCTTAAAATAATCTTGCAAGGAGACACCGAAAAGTATTTACATACTGAAATTTCACACTAGACTATGTGCAATGGCAGTTTGCTAACATTGTGGCTAAATAACAGTAAATAAATGCTTTGTTTTGACTAATATATGCAGACAAACCATGCCTTACATTCAAACGTATTGTAATCTTTGCTACATGTAATATTTTTTTTAGCAGAGAGAATTTTTTTTAAAGTACAGTCATTTGAAATCTAGAATCAGAGTTATTCATGAGATTTCATGAGTTAAAGGATAGCTGAGTTTCAATGTATTGGATTATGCCCAGCTGGGGCCAGGATAGTGATCAGTGATTCAGAGATTAAGCCAGAGTTTGGGAAGAAAATGATTTCATCATCCAGGGCTGAAAAGGATCTGGAGGTCAAATACATGCATACACAGGTCAGACTCCAGTTGCAGCCCAAGCTGCGTCACATCTGGGATTCAGACATGTCTGGAAGACCAGTGAGAAGTGGTCTGTTTCTGTGAGAGACCAAGAGAGCTTCTGAGTCAAGAACTCTTCCTAGTGGAAGTTGAGACCACAAGCCTCAGTTTCTGCATGATTCCAAGTTCAGCATGGGGTTTGTCCCTTGGATTTGTCCCTCACTTCAGTCTCCCATGGATTCATGTTCTCCGCTAAGAACATGAATGGACACAAAAGGTGTGGACTCTAGTATGGTTTCGGTGCACTTAAATGCCCCTGAGAGCACAAGACTTCCAGAATGTCAACAGCACACAGCGGAAAGCAGCAGCCGGATGGAAGGAAGCATCGCTTTGGATCAGAGGCAGGACACCTTCCTACCCGTCTGGCCAGCAGAGGCTGAAGGAATCAGTGCAGGCTGAGTGGTCACATTTTAAGGGCAAGTAAGGTGTACTCTGGGAACTCCCAGAAATAAGTAAGAGAGATGGAGCTCCTATAGTATTGGAAAGTGTATATGAACCATTAGTTATCTTTAGTTCACTACCACTTATACTCCTAGGTGGTGTGACCTAAAGGAAGATGGATTTCATATACAATAAACCTGTATGAATCTTTAATAATCATCATTAATTAACCACTGTTAATAATCATTAATGCTAGGCTGATACCACCTTACTTTTCCTCATATCTTGTCTTCCTATTTCACACCCCTCCATGTGTTGGAATTTCTTTTCCTATTCTAGAATGCCATTGGAGAGGAGGAAGATGTGTCTGTTTTTGTTTTGTTTTGTTCTGTTAACTCTATTTCTCCTGTCTGGAAAAATCTCTTTGAGGAGTGTGTGGTGGTGGGTGGGAGAATGGTGGTTAGAGTGTGGAAACCTTTCTAGAAGTGTCCCTGGATTGCCCAGCCAGAATAAGAGGTGAAATAACAAATTGCTCATCCAAGAATGTCAGAACCTAAGCTTTTTTTGTGTGGTTCTGATATGTCATTTATACCTTGTGAAAGAGTACTTTTTATAGGACCATCTATACACAAAAAGATGACAGAACTTCCTGGAACTCGTGAACTAACTTTTTTTAAAAGTCTTATTCAGGTTATAATGTTAATAATTTATCCTTTATGAGTTGGTTGCCCTGTGCATTGAATGAGGAAACCAGGATCTAAAGACTGGTTTTTATCCTCATTAACGTTTTACTGCTCTTCCATGAACTTGAAATAAGAAAGGTGTGCCCAGAAAATTTGTGCAGATTTTAGTGCCTGTTTATATCTCCTCTGCTCTGTGCTAACAGGAATAATGTATAAAGACCATATTGACAATTAGATCTCTTTGAAGATGACTGGTTTAAAGGCTTTTAATAACCTGAAGATGCCAGCTGTGATAACATAAGAAAATGAGTTTAGTACACCCATTATATGCTCCTGTAATTTTATGCACTTTCCTTAAATTCTAGTACAGTGGACAGACCAAACAGTTATCACTATATATGCCAGTTTACCACTTAAAATCAACTCATGGATGTTCTCGTGTTATATTGCCATCTTCTATCATCCGTTCTTTCAATTCCAAACTGCATGGGTTATGGCTGCAATCAGAGATTAACTCGTTTACAGCACTATTTAACTGCCTCCATAATTAAATGCTAATAACTCATGTTGAGTGTTTGGGTTTGGACTACCTCTTGTATATTTCAGGTTTTCAATGTTAATGCCTAGGCCACAAATTAATATCCTGCTAAAATAAATAAAATAAAGTACCCAGGAATAGGTACTCCCTGTGGCCTTTCAATGCCAAAATAAGAATGGCTATATCAAAAGTAGCATCTTAGGGGTCTCCTCTGTGAGATGCATGGCAGGGGACAGGATGAGCAATGGGATGTGATGTACTAGGGGTTTTTTTTTCCTTAAGTAATTAAGTTCGAGGAGATATGTTTGATCCATGAAATAGTCAAATACTATAATAAGAAGCCTCCGCCCTCAGGCCCACCGTTGCGGTTATGCCAGTAGACGCATCTGGCACAAGCCCTGCACAAGGGTCCCTGCGCGAGCAGGCAGGAGTCAGGGCTGCCCCTCCTTGGCTGGCCCAGTGCATGGGATGCCTTTTAGTAATTGATCCTCCAGAGGGTGCGCTTTTTACTAACTGCACAGAGGACAGCCCCTGCTCTACCAATATTATGTCTTTCTAAAACTGTGGTAAAGCCCAATCCTTGCAGTAGCTTCTTGCAGAGAAAAGTGCACTATGTGGAGACGGGGTAACACCATGCATTTACCCAAACCCAGGTGATGTGGTGACTCCCGAGGAGGGCGGCGGTAAGGCAAGGCACTGGGTGCCAGAGGTTTGGGGAGCTCGTGTTCCCCACCCCAGTCAGCAGAGAGCACCTTCCAGCTCCTCTCCTGCAGGCCAGGTGCTCCCCCAGAGGCACCTCCACAGGTGGGGCAGG